TTCCCCGTTTGTCTCTACCCCAAGACACTGAGATAGCGCAGCCTGTTTCTGGGATCCTCATTTGAGAAGTAAGGTCAAGGAGAGATTAACTTGGACACAGCAGCACTAGTGCAGAATTGATTTATCTTGTTTTAGATCTGTGGGCTGTCTGATTAAAAAAAACATACACACACACACACAAAAAAAAAAACCCACACAATTTGCCAGCTATACTGGAAATGCATTCTGCTTTTTTCATCAACAATCTTGGGCACTCAAGGTTTTTTCTGTCAAAAACACTTTGTCTCTTCACCTTTGGTTTTTATGTTCCTTATGTAAGTGAAGAACAACTCTAATGAAAAGACTGCAATGTGAGACCAGATGGTAAGCATTATTTAGCTGATGAGGATGTGCAGATGTGAGAGAAGGTGTGGTAATATGATCTGATTCTGCAGCCGTGACCTGTTGGTTCCAGACACCCTCCTTCCTCCCTGCTTTTTGCATCTACATTCCAGCGCCTCTCCTTCCACCTTTGTGGCATTGGGGCCCTCACAGAGCAATTGCACAGATGTGTAAGAAAAGAATGAAGCTTGTTCTAGGAAAGACAACTTCTGATATTTATTCCAACCCACAGATATTTTTTTGAATATCCTTCTCTTTATGTTACTATTGGCAAATCATGCAGAATGTAACTACTCTTGTTCAGGACACTAAGAGACAGTTTCCTGGGATTCCAGTTGCCATCAGCCTATCACAATGTCTTTAAGGCTTCTCCACTTGAAGTCTTGCAGGTACCTCAAACTAAAGATAGATAAAGATGAGGTCATCATCTCTGTTCACCTCACCTCACCTCACCTCACCTCACCTCACCTCACCTCACCTCACCCCACCTCACCGAACACCAACCCTGTCTGCTGTGTATCTTCCTTCAGGGAAAGGTAGCACCATTCTTCCCTCACCCAAATGGATAATCTGGAAGTCATCCTGAACTCTCAAATCTTTCTTATCCATTTCATGCAATCCGTCTCCAAAATACTTTTCTAATCCTTCCATTTCTCTTTCCTCATTGTCATTGCCCCGGTTTAAGCTCCTCTGGAATTTGTAAACATCTGATGGTTTTGCCTTTATTTTTATCCAGATAATCCAGTGTTGTATATTACATGAGACTCTAACCAAGGAGGCCAATGAAATTTAAACCTCATAGGAGGATGGGTAGATGAAGATCATTATTTCTTATAATCTCAACAGACTATTATAGTGTGTAGGTAGGGGTGAAAATCAATGATGGACTAGAGATATTTCAGATGTTTTAGCCAGTACATATGCAAGGTCTTCATGACCTTGGAGATCTTGTCTGTTGCCACTTCTGCTTTTGACTGTACAATAAGTAACCATAAACTACAGGTGCTTCCTTGTACTTTCATGCTGTTACATACCATGTCTTGGTTTTATGCTGTTCCTTGGTCTATGGGGGACCCTTCATCAGAAATGTTCTGGAAATATAGCACTATTTCTTTGAAGTACTGGATTATTTTATTTTCCATCTTGGTAGGTATTAAGTTGACTCATGAGAACCTCCAAAATGACTCAGGGCTTCTGTGTTCTGTGTTTCCTCTCTTTTTCTTCTTGTTATCCTCCTCACATCCAATTGCAAGTCGTAGCAATCTCTTATAATTAGGATGGTGTTACATCAGAGATTTTTTTTAAATGCCAGGTCTTTATGGTCCAGAACATGCTTCCATGTTCTTCCCTGGTGTAACTCTGCCCTAGTACTGTGCTCTAACAGCCTTTACACATGATACCACCCACCATGTGGGTCATGTAGTCAGATAGATGTGCAGGGTATAGAGAGCTTTTATGTGTTTTATCTCAAATTGATCCTCATCATACCCTGTGGAGTAGACAGGGGCCTAGTACTTTTCCTCTTTACAGATGTGGAGATGGAGATTCCTTTAATTTCTATCAACCTGACTTATAGGTATATACTTGTGTCTCTATAGATTATATTTTGATAGGGTTCACAATGTACTATGACCAGATTGAATTATGATTAGCTACTTATTACTAAAGGGACTTAGGTGTAGCTTTTGTTTGTAGAATTTGTTGGTAAATTTGAACAAACTTAATTCTATTTATTTATTTATTTATTTATTTATTTATTTAATATGGAACAAAATTAATTCTTAATTTCCACTCACGATTATTTAGAAGCCTAATCACCTTGTAAGTTTCCAGGCCCCATTTTCCACTTATGTAGTCCATCATTATCTTCTGGTCAGTCTGGTCCGTGGCACCTTTCTGAAACAGAAGGGAAAACTTGTATGATTGGTTTTAAATGTTGATTTTTGAGGCCTGGACTGTGAGTCCCTTAAATTACTCAATCAAGTCTTGAAGATCCAAATGTAGCGCTGGGACTGTGTGGTTGGGCCTAATCATAGTACTGAAAACATTTATTTTCAGCGAGAAGAAGGGAAGAGGACTTTGAGTTCCTCAATGAAGCGTCCACATATATTAGTTTCTGTATCAGGCCATGATGTTTCCCACTTCCTATCTCCAACCTAGCAAGGCTTCTTGCATTTTCTGTGTGTGTGTGTGTTGGGGGGTGGTGGTGGTGTGGTGTCTAAAAGTTAGGTCCATCAGACTAGTTTATGGGACCATAGCTTTATTTAAAAAAATCTTGCTCTTCTTGAATTTAGGAATTAGAAGAAGTTATAAACAACAAATGACTGTATTTGTCTTCTCTCAGTTTTGAACAAAGTCACACAGTTTGAGCAAGTCCATGAGAATAAGGAGTCCCCTTCTACTGCCTGGAAGGAGCAAAAGATCATTTTATTTAAAATAAATCTATTGAGATCCACGTTGCTGGTATCTAATCGAGCTCTGAATTTGAGTTCAATCAGAGCTTTGATGAAGGAAAGGGGAAAGAAAACTTGAAAGAATGCTGTTCCATTCATGAAGAGTTTGCATGTTTTCAGTTTCCAAGTAAATGGAATAATGGCACCATGCATTTCCATCCAGGCATTTTCCACCCCGAGAATAATGCCCTTCCTGGTTTCTCAATGAATAATGCATTATTTCTGAAACTCCAGAGGCATTCCTTTCATTTTCCTTTATGTTTAGCTTTCTAAGTGATTTTCAAGCAGGGAAATCCAAGGACTTGGAATAAGTGCTTTATTAACATTTTTACTTGAAGTTCAAATAGCTTCTTGGCTATTATCTTCTGATGTTTGAAATATTTTTTCCCCCCCTCTCTCTAAGGAAAGCCTAAGGTATTGTATTTATTAGAAAGTGAAATACCTTGGACAGTCTTCAAAGTGAATGGCAGTTTAAAACCAGTACACATTTGTGTTTTAAAACAAAGAGCTTTGTGGGGGTACTTTTCTCCTTTATTTTCATTTCACTGTTGAAAAGATTAAAAAAGGAAAGCTTGCACCCAAAAAAACTGGGCTGGTTGGAGACGAAATCTTGTTTGTTTACATTTTGTGAAGCTCATTCCTGGAGGCTAGTCTCCAAATCCACCACCCTGCTGCAAGTCCATGTCCACCTAGGCCAGTGCCATTTAAGTCTAAAGATTCAAAAGCTTGTCTGAGGTCATCTCTATTTGCTATCTACACATTGTATGGCCTGACGCATATGGGTGAGATGTAATGGGACAGGACAGTATCCACTGGTTCTATTGACTCATGTTTTCTGAGCCGAGGATCCCAGATCATCCTGGAGTAACACAGTGGTAGATTTTACCACTTTCATTTTCCCTGGGAGCCAAATGGGTGATTTCAGGAACTAAATAAGCTGAAATTAAGAATATAACCTTTCCATTCTTCCTTTTATTGTAAAATTTTAATGATTCAGAGTAGTTGAGGAAGAAAGAGACCATCATTGATCTAAATTTGTAAGATGTTTAAAACCTAACATTTGGTTTTAAATATTTAATTTTATTAATTTCAAGAAGTGGGAGTACAACCATATTTTCTGGAATGTGGACTCTGGACCCAGCCTCTAAAAGCAGAAGCTCTGCTGTCTATTTTCTATCTGCCACTTCCTAATACCATGGCCTTGAGCAAGTTACTTAATGTTTTGGGTCTCAGTTTTTTCATCTGCATGATGGGAGAATATCTGCTATCTCATATGGCTATTGTGCAGATTGAATAAGTTGATATTTATAAAACATATGGAAAAGTACCATTAAAGTGGCTGTTGAATAAAAATAAAATCAAACAGCCATAGCCTGTTTGGCTCAGCGGATAGAGTGTCAGTCTGCGGACCAAAGGGTCTTGGGTTTGATTCCGTCAAGGGCATGTACCTCAATTGGAGGTTTCTCCCTGGCCCAGACTCTAGTCGGGGCATATGTAGAAGGCAATCAATCAATGTGTTTCTCTCACATTGATATTTCTCTCTTTCCCTCTCTCTTCCACTCTCCCTAAAAATCAATGGTGAGCACCCATTTACTCTTTACAACAAACGACAAACCTAATGAGGAAAATATAACCATTAATTTTTTTTTCAGATGAGAACACTGAGGTATGAAAAGTAATTTGCCTAAGTTTACCTAGTTTATAAAACAACAAAACAAGGATTTGAGCCCAATCAACCTGAATTCAGAAACTGAATATTAAAGGACATTTGTCATAGTGCTTAACTTTTGCCTAAAAACAATCTTATGCTATTAAAGTCCATACCTCTATAAGCATCAAAGTGTGTATTCTGAATCAAGTTTTTCATGTGTCAGTTGCTTAGTAACTCTATGTTTCACTCATAGTAATTGTCATCAATGTCTCATAAATACTCAATCTTAGTAAGGTCTGAATTAATGAGGTTTTATTAAATTGATTATCTTATCATTAATTTTTTTCCTGGTTACTTCACAATATGAACATTTTATTTCAAGTGGTGACCTGGTGGTTTTGAATCTCAGTATTGTTATATTGAATGGGAATTATTTCACCTTATGGTTGCTAGTTTCGTAATTATATTTGTCCTCTCTTATTTAAATCCTCCCACCCCTCTCTCTGTCCTTATAGGTGCCTTTATTATCTGCTGGACCCCAGGACTGGTCTTGTTACTTCTCGATGTGTGCTGTCCACAGTGTGATGTTCTGGCCTATGAGAAATTCTTCCTTCTGCTTGCTGAGTTCAACTCTGCCATGAACCCCATCATCTACTCCTACCGCGACAAGGAGATGAGCGCCACCTTCAGGCAGATCCTCTGCTGCCAGCGCAGTGAGAACACCAGTGGCCCCACAGAAGGATCGGACCGCTCAGCTTCTTCCCTCAACCACACCATCTTGGCGGGAGTTCACAGCAATGACCACTCCGTGGTTTAGAAAGGAAACGAAGAGGAGAAGCCAGCGTCATCTATTGAGGGATGAAAAGCCTCCCCCACCCAAATGCCTGGGCAAGGTGTGGGATGTGAGAGAGAGAGAGAGAGAGAGAGGAAAAACAAACTCATGTTCTTAAACACTAACCAACGGCAGTATTTGTTCCTAGACCCAACAAGACTTGACATATGTTGAAAGTTAGCTTATGTGACAACCCTCATCTGGATCCCCATTCCCTTTGAGAATAGACAGTGGAGCTCTTATAATGGAATTCGTAAATAGACTCTGGAGTGTTCCTTTAGAGAGACGACACTAACTAGACTTTAAAAGATTTTGTGTGGTTTGGTGCAAGTCAGAATAAATGCTGACTAATGGAATCCACAACTTCATTTACATGCAGGCTTCCCTTTTTTATTTTTAAAGGATTACATTTCATTTAATAAACATGTGTATGCCTATCAGTATGCTTGTGATGGATAAGACTAGAGACTTTTTAAACTACCGTAATTTCATTTTTTTCCACATGTAGGAAAACTATAAATTAGACTTTTTTTTTTTAGAAAGCATGCATGTAATATATGTATGCAGTATGTCTTACTTAAAAAGGTAAAAGGATATTAATTTTAAATCTTCTAGGAAATAGGAGAACCTAGATGTCAAAGCCAGTATTTGTTTAGGTTATGAAACAAACAATGTTCTAATCACATTACCTTTTTATTAAAGTGTTGCAACACATATTAAAAAAATGGGTTGTATGTTTGTTACCGAAATAATATGTACTCTAAAAATGTCTTAGAGAAGATGAAGCTCAGTAATATTGTTCCCACATATTTATAATACCCAAGTACATTCTAATTATTGGTACATCAGAATGATTTTTAAATAGCCTGTGTTTTTCTCTATTATGAAATAATACATAGTCATTATAGGAAACTTGAAAAATGCAGAAATGTATAAAACAAGAAATAATTACTGGTAATAAATATCACAATCCAGAAGTAACCACCGCTAACAGCTATTCCCCCTGTGTATGCCTATATGTATATTATATACCTTTTTATATAATTGGGATCATACTGTAAACAATTTTATAATCAGTTTTTTTTTTCCACTACAGAATTGCCACATTTTCCTATGGCATTAAAAATTTTACAAAGACATAATTTTTATGGCTATATAATATTCCATTTAATGGGTGCAACTCAGTTTATTTAACCATTTCCATATTGTTGACTACTTAGGTTCTTTTTAATTTTCATTATTATAAATGATGTTGCAAAAAAATTGTGTACATAAGACTTTTTCCATATAATTGGTTATTTACTTAGGATATGTTCCCATGAAGGATTTTTTTTTTAAATGTGAATTGTCTTTTTATGTTCATACCTTTTATAAAAAGGGATTTCCTGCTTTGCACCTCATGGGTGACAATTGTGAGGAAAGCCAGTTAAATTACCTTTTTACAAAGGAAGTTCAGTGGTTAGTGTAGAGTGACTTTTTTATATAGTAAGATGTACTGAGAAACAGTGAATTGTCACCAATAACAGGATACCCTAATTCAAATGTCTAGCAATTCCAAATTTTATTTGAGGGACCAATTATTCAGCTCTTAGTAGCCACAGCTGTAATGTAGCATTCAAGAAAACGCAAAGAAGTCAAACGTGCCAAGCGAATGAAGGATCTTCCTATTAAACATCTTGAGACCCTTCTGTAGCAAATTGGTTGAGTGTCAGCATGTGACTGGATATTGTGTATTCCCTAAGAATCATCCCCGATGGACTGCTGCCATGTTAGGGGATATCTGTCTAATCGCACCAGTTTGTGGTAATAAGTAACCAATAAAGTCACAGTCATGAAGCAGGTACAGGGAAGTCGGGAGTACGTTTAAGAGAAAGATGTCCAAAAGAAGACAGTTGTCTAGGAAGGAGGAAGTCAGTGCATGGTCACCAGTTAAGCAGAGGGCTGACGTGTCAAGTGCCCAAAGTGAAAAGCATACGGGGAGCCAGTTAGCAGAAAGGTGTTTGCACATACTTTACACAGTACACAGAGCATTTTTTTTTTTTTACATTGGAAGGGAAATAAATGAACTTGGACTTTCACTCATGCACATGTATTCTGAAGAAGCTATGGACTATTTGAAATTGAGAACGTACTAATTGGACCTTAATAAATCATGCTCAATCAGTGTTTGCGGATGTGTGGTTCTGGTCAGTTGCTCTTATTTCTCTTGTTCTAGTCTGCGGTTTGGATGGCACCGGTGCCTTTCTGCTTGTGACCTCCTTTATTTCCCGGCCACAGGGCCCCTGAATTCTGAGGTGAAGCCACCACCATATGCTTCCCCAGCTCAGAACTGCTTTTTTTCAACCTGAGGACTAATTTGCATTAAAGGAGGGATAACATCTTAGGGCGACGTAACTGTACTCTGATTTTATCAGACCTTTATGATGGCTTATGGAAAACTAGGAGTTTATAAAGTCTTTATGCTTCTAGATTTAGTAACTAACAAGATAAAAATGATGGGTATCTTCCAGTTACTTGTTAATGGTATTCTTTTCCAACATATTGCTAAGAGATTGGAAAAAGAGAAAACGATTATTCCAATGAACGTCTCAGGGAACACTTGGAAGCGAATTCTGCACCTTTCAGTTCAGGTGGATGTAAGATTTTCAGAAATCAAGCCCCTTAGGCCTCTTCTTCCCAAATTCGCCACCGCTCCCATTCAGTAATCCCCTCTTATCCACAGTGTCGCTCTCCGTGGTTTCCGTTCCCCGCGATCCACCACGGTCTGAAAATATTAAATGGGACCATCCAGAAATAACTCAGAAGTTTTACAGCTGCAGGCTGCGCTGAGCAGCGTGATGAAATCTCGCGAGGCCCGCTTCCTCTCGCGAGGGACGCGAATCCTCCCTCCGCTGGGCGTGGGGTACGCGCTGCTCGCTGAGTGGCCGCCTTGGTTGTCACAGGGACGGTTTTGTGGGAGCGGTGTTCGCGTCCCCCTTCTTTTCCTGTTTAATGGCCTCCCCCCCTGCACAGGAGGAGCGATGCTGTGGGTCTGCCGAAGAGAAGCCGTCCGACCTAATAAGGTAAGCAAAAAGCCGTACACTGAGGTTATGAAGATGACGGTAAGAACGATAAACGATATTTTTAGAGAGAGATCACATTCACGGAACTTTTATTACAGTATGTTGTTATGACTGTTCTGTTTGTTTTTTTTTTAAATTTATTAGTTGTAAATCTCTTACCGTGCCTAATTTATAAAGTAAACTTTATCTTAGGCCGGTATGGAAAGGAAAACATGGTTACACATAGGTTTCATTCCCAAGGATGAGAGAGGATTACTGTGTTACCTATTTTTTTTGTATACTAAGACCATAATTTCTAGATGCCTTGAACATTACATGATTAGTAAGGCATCAGTTTCCCCCTTCTCTCTCCTGTTTTTGTTTGTTTATTTTTGTTTAAAATATTACATATGTCTCCCTTTCCCCCAATTGACCTCTCCCCGGCCACTTCCACCCCCCAGGACAAGCCCCCACCGCCCCAGTGTTCGTGTCCATTGGTTATGCCAATATGCATATACATTTAAAAAATTTAAAAATATATCTTGATTGATTTCAGAGAGGAAGGGAGAGGATAGAAACATCAATGATGAGAGAAAGTCATTAAGCAGTTGCCTTCTGCCTGATTGGGGATGGAGCCCACAACCTGGGCAAATGACCTGACCGGGAATTGAACAGTAACCTAGTTCCTAGATTGTTGCTCAAACACTGAGCCACCCAGCCAGGCTATCCACGTAAAATTTTAACTTTGGTAGAGAATACCAAAATACATTCCAAAAATACTATACCAGCTTATGGTATCATAATGCATGACAGTGGTTGGCAAACTCATTAGTCATCAGAGCCAAATATTAACAGTACAATGATTGACATTTCTTTTGAGAGCTGAAAACCGAGACTTCTGTGCATAGGCCACGAAGTTTCAGTCGCACTGTATGTGTGCGCCCACACGTGGTATTTTGTGGAAGAGCCACATTCAAGGAGCCAAAGAGCTGCATGTGGCTCTTGAGCCACAGTTTGCCGACCACTGATGTATGACAACATTTTTATCTATATCTTCATCATAACTGGATGCTAACACTCTTTGAGGTTCCTTTAGTTAAAAGACAGTTTGGATGCCAAACCCCAAAATACTTGGGAGATAAAGCACTTCTAAGTAACATATGGGTAAAAGAAATCTCAGGAGAAATTTAAAAATACTGTTAACTAAATAAAGATGAATATATAACTTATCAAGATTTTTGGGATGCAGTGAAAGTAGTGATTAGAGAAAAATTTATTAAAAAGATCTAAAATCAACTAAACTTTTACCTTATGAAACTAGAAAAAGAAAATAAATTAAAACCAAAGTAAGCAAAAATCAATAAAATTGACAAACAATATCAATAGAGAAGATCAATGAAAACTAAAGCTGGTTATTTAAAAAGAACGATAAAATTGATGAGCCTCTAACCAGACTAAGAAAAAAAGTACATAAATTACTAATATCAAAAGTGGAAAAAAGGGATATCATTGTAGGTCTCACAGACATTGAAGGATAATGGAGGCATACTATAGACAACCCTATGTTCACAAATTTTAAGAAAAATATATATTTTATTGATTTTACACAGAGAGGAATTGAGAGGGACAGAGAGTTAGAAACGTCAATGAGAGAGAAACATCGACCAGCTGCCTCCAGCACCCCCACCCCCAACCGGGGATGTGCCCGCAACCAAGGCACATGCCCTTGACCGGAATCGAACCTGGGACCCTTCAGTCCGCAGGCCGATGCTCTATCCACTGAGCCAAACCGGTCCCGGCTATGCTCATAAATTTGATAACCTAAGTGCAATGGACCAGTTACTTGAAAGACAATTTACCAAAACTCACACAAGAAGAAACAGACAATTTGAATTGGTATATAACTATTAAAAATTTTTAAAATCCTCAACAGAGGATTTTCCC